GGGCAACCTTGAATATTCTAGTTTGTATGGTATGCTGGTTATCAATTTATGCAACCTTCCTTTGTCAAAATAAATCAGCTTACGTTCTTCAGTTAATTTGCAACAATTCAATGTGGGTTAAAGATAGTGGAAAGAAGCATCTTATTTGTTCCTTGGTTAGCAGGGGGAAGCATTGATGTCTTGTTACTTGCAATAATAGTTATCTTGAATCTTGTTCACTGACAGTATTATCTATCACCATTCTAACAGAAGCAGGAAAAGTCAGCGACAAAACCAAATGTGACATATACTTCTCTTGAGAAGCTGCTTAGCAATAGGTTTGCCTGTCAGGTATGGTGAACTGATGTCCTTCTATTTATTTTGGTTCAACCAATTGGAAGCAAACAGAACCCCAAGAAAGAAAAAAAAAAAAAAGCAAGCCGAAATTTTCTTTTTTTTTTTTCGGGGGGGGTTTGAAGCTAATGGAATCTACACCGAAGACCAAGACTATCAATATCAAGTGTGATCCATTAAAACCCAATTCTGCCTGGAACTGGCTGGAGAGGTGGATGTCTGTTTCAGTGACAGAACAGTCACCAAAACTGGAGGTAGTCAATAATCAACCAGAAACAGAGAAGAATGAGGATTTTGCCTCTCCTGTGGATGTGAGAGCTCCTTCTGAAGCTTATTCCGAGTCTTCTGGTTTAAAGTCTGGTGTGAGGGAAACCATTGTTCCATCTGAAAGTGAAGAGAATTTAATTACTTATGATGCTGATAAGGTTAAGTTTGAGGCATCTCAGCCAACTCCTTTAGGAACAGATAATTTACAGCAGTGTCAGCTTGAGAACACAAGTACATCTGACCAGAAAGAGGCTTCAGTGGGAACAAACTCTGGGGAGACCTCAGTGGAGATAAGCTCTAAAAGAAATCAAACAATACCATCAGATGCGAATTCCAAAGCTGAGGTCAGCTGTCCTCCTTGTGAGCTGGAAACAGAGCATCAGCAACCCAAACGTTCTATGAAAAGATTTGCTTCTGACCAACAGGAAACTGAGGAAAAGAAACGTGTTTTTGGATCAACAAAGGCAAGCAATCCTGCATTTATTGTTGCACAGACAAAATTGGAGGAGCTGAGTTCAGCTGCAAATCCAGGTAGATCAATTAATTCGTCCTATCAAGATGTTGGAGTTGGACCAAATTTGGATACTGTTTCATCTGGGGCAGATACTGATAGCAGGAAAAAGGAGGCAAGCACCATAGAACCTCTAGTCCACAATAATTCAGGGGTTCATCATGGTGGCTCTGAATGTGGTACTGAACTTTCTATCTCTTCCACTCTTGATTCGCCTGATATATCTGAAGTTGGAGCCACAGGGTGTGAGCAGGGAGCAAAACCCCTAGAGCAAGAAAATTGCAGTTCTAACACAACTAAAGATTTAGACAATAAATCATACAATGCATCTACCATCCCATTGTCCAATGAGTCCATGTCTGTTACTGATCAAACAGAGAAAATTGATGGTATGAGTAAATATGGGAATTCAGATGAAGCTGTAGACTCTCCACAAGTAGAGCAGGATCCAAAGACAACCACAGGTGATCCACAGAGAGAACTGGACCCTGAAATGTGTCAGCAAGCATCTCCAGAAGGTTCTCCCAGAATCCATATGACCATTTTGGAGTCCCAAGGAACACCTCCTAGTAAGGTATCAGTGAAAGGTAAAAAGAGCAAGCCTGACAAGAGCAATCAAAAGCGCAAGTCTCTGTCTGCTGACAGGAGTCCAGCCAATGATTCTAGTGGGAGAGGTAGCATGGAACAATTGCCTAAAGACCAGAAAAGTGGGAAGAGACGCAATTCTCTTGGTTCAACAAAACTGGAAAACATTGATCAAGAACAAAGGGATAGTAGTAGTAATTCTCTCCCCCGTTTCATGCAAGCCACAGAATCAGCAAGAGCCAAGGTCCATGCGAATAACTCACCCAGATCAAGCCCGGACCTTCATGACAGAGACACTTACATCAAGAAGAGGCATTCCTTACCTGGTGTAAATGGGGGGCAAGGTTCTCCAAGAATCCAGCAGTCAATGTCTCCAGCACAGCAGGGTGCAAAGGGGAATGGTACCCCTCCACTTCATGGTATACTCTAAACTTCATTGTGTCATGTAAAATTTTTTAATGTTGCATATAGACAAATTTGCTTGCACCAACAAGAGCTACCAGAGTTGGGACCCACTAATGGATTTTAAAATGGGGCGACTAAAAATTTTATTTTATTATTTATTATTATTATTATTTGTTTTGGAAGTGTCTATATCAATGACTTAAGAAAACAACTTAAGGACTAACTACTAAATTGATTTGTTTCAGGGAGAAAATGGCAAAGATGAAGAGTTACTCAAATCAGCTTCATTGGCAAAGGCAATGGCCAGTAGGCGAGTTTTGTACCTCATACTCAAATTGATTCATGCATAGTGGTGATGGTTTGGTGGAGGGAGATACATGTAGAATTTGTTAAAGAGAGTTGATGTATATTACTAGTACTAAGACAATCTGCAACATGCTTTTTTTGATTTTTCCTTGTCATGGGACTATGCTTGTGTCTTTATTCCACATTTCCTTGTGATATTATTTAGGCTTGTTACATGTTTTCAGATATCCGTTGAGAATTTGCTAGGTAAGAAACATAAAGCAGAGAGCCCCTGAAGGCTCTTGTTACTGTAATGCCTGGACTACTTTTTGGATTGGCAACAGTTCGAATACTATTTTCCCCTTGTTTTTGTTCCTAATTACGCATGCCCTGAATGCACGCGTTCCTTCGTACAAATTCCATACCTGTTTATTGCATGCAGTCCCTTAATTACCCGACACTTGAGAATCAAAAGGAATGTAAGCTTTGAGGCTCATCTTCTCAGAACCCTTCTGAACCTCTCGCTGTAGGTGATGGAGTGACAAAATCTTTTCCCTTAGGACTGAAGGATACAGAGGTACGGGCTTATAGAACAGATCTTGTTCAAACAAAGGCAGTGTTGAATTAAGGAACTCTCTTTTGGTACAATTTATGAGGTGGTGAAACTTTTCTAGTAAAATTAATAATGAGCTTATATAATATGGTCAGTCTTTTCTTTTTTGAGATTCTTTCTTATTTGAGATAAAATTATACTCAAATCTTTTAAATTAAAATTTTCAAATTCTTAATTACCATTACAAATCTTAAGAGTTTGTGGAATTTTTGGAAAATCTGTGTTTATGTAGAGAAAGTTCTTTTTATTTTTTTCGAACATTTTTTATAAGGGACAGATTTGAAACCCACCCATGAGAAGAGGAATGCACCTGTGAATGGTTAATACCATTGGGCCTCTATAGCTAGGTGCAGAGAAAGTTCTTTCTCTTACAAAAAAGGTTCAAGTCATTTTAATATTTTCACATCTCCATACCATAATAACAATCAAAAAGTGCTTTTTTTACTATAAAACCCGCTTGACAACCTTCTCCTAACTCTTCCAATATCAACTTCTTTGCCTCTAACAATTCACTACATAGTAACAATTCATTACAAAACTTATAAACATACATATGGTAGTACTTTTCCGTCTTTGCCTCTAACCTAAGAGAGACTTAATGGAGCAAAAGAAGCATACCGCAGGAGAAGAGGACCTAAAACTAATCAGCTATAGAACGCCCATAAAATTTTGAGGTGAATGGCCTAAAGGCTAAAGCCTAAATAAAAGACCCTAACCTATGCGGCCAATTGATTGGGCCATGCCCTGGAGAGCACGATCTTTGAATCCGTGTCATGGGTAGGAACCATTTTTTACAGAACAGTGTTAGGCCAGTCAGGCCACCATGGCCCCTAAAACTGGCGCATTTTTCTTTTCTTTTTATGTTTCCTGCCAGTTTGATAAAATAATATAAGAAATATCCCAGGGTCATAATCTTAATACAAGAATATAACCAAGTTCAGAATTTTGCTTATTTTTGAGGAAGAAAACACGATTGAGGGATGAAGTCCTTGACAAGAGCCCCAAACCGAACTTTGAGAATTCTTATTTATGAGTTTCCTCAGATGCAAGCGTAAAAAGCCGAAATACATTATAGCCAAGGAGATAGTGCACCTCTACTTATAAACCATATAATAAGGATTGTTTTCCTTTTCCCGTAACAAATATCTTTGCAAAAGTCTTGAAATTTAAACTAGTTACTTTTAATTAAAGTTTCATACTTAAACCATCACTAGTAAAGAGCACAAACAAACACGTTATTATCACTCTTTATTGTTTAGACCAAGCACAATCATGCTCGAAGGTAAAGGGAAAATCAAGTTTGATATGCATAACAATCTTTTAATTAAGTAGCCACGCTATGGAGGACTACCGTCTCCACTGTGAGGTCAGGTCCGAAGCACAAGAGCACGCCCCAGTCCAACCCTTCACCTGTTGTCCTAAGCCCTTCTTTAGCTGACTTCTTTCTCATCTCATCCAAAATGAACAGCACACATGCACCAAACATGTTACAGTACCCAGCCAAGGCATGCCTTGAAGCACGTAGCTTTTCATGTTTCAGACCTAACTTGGCCTCTACTTGGTCGACAATTGCTGGCCCGCCTGGATACACAATCCAAAAAAGGAAATTCCAGGCCTGGATACACAATCCAAAAAAGGAAATTCCAATCTGAGATACACGAAGGTTGCAATGCCTCAGCTATGTTACTTTCAATGTTTTCAGAAATAAGATCGGGAATATCTTGACGAAGGTAAAATATTAGACCGGCTTCACAAACATGTACATCAATAGCTCCATCACTGTTTGGTACAAAACTTGGTATGAACTGAAGAGCATTTTTCCTGAAGCAATAGAAAATGATTCTCAAATGGTGAATTTGTTGATTAATGACAGCAGCTTCAAGCAAGTTTTAGAGGGCCTGAGTTGAGTGATTGATGTTGGAGGCGGTACTGGCCAGGTAGCCATCAAAATATTAGAGACATTCCCTTATCTGAAATGCAACGTACTAGATCTCCCTTATCTGGTGAGTTTGGTACCGGAAACTACTAACAAGGACTTGGAATTTGTTGGAGATGATATGTTTGAATCCATACCTTCTGCAAATGCCATCTTACTCAAGGTGAATTAATGATCATTTTTTTATTAGCAAAATTAAAGAGTCCTCAATTTTAAGTTTTAACCCCGAAGTTAGCTACAACTAAGGATAATATATAAGTTTTTTAGAATGTTTTGCACAGTTTCAATGATGAGAGAATCGCATAAAATTATTGAAGAACTGCAAAGAGGGTATTATAAAAAGCAAGGCCGGAAAAGGAGGGAAGGTGATAATCATAGACGCTGTGAAAGATGAGGAGAAAGGTGGAGACTCATTCACCGAACTAAAATTGAATTATGATATGATGATGATGGTTTTGCTTGATGGAAAAGAAAGAACCGAGAAAGAGTGGGAAATGTTGTTCGAGAAGGCTAGTTTCAATGGCTACGATATAAGACCCACGTTTGCCTTCAAGTCTCTAATCATTGAAGTGTATCCTTAGAGCCATACGCACATCGGCACATGGCCAAGAAGGGTACATAACAAGATTGGAGTGCTCTTTTGTTTTACAACTCTGAAATAAGTAAAATAAATGAATGCAAAGGAAATACATTTTTTGATATTGTATCCACATGGATACATGAAATTGTGATTCTTATTATTTTTCTTTAGCAGTTAAGGTGTCTTTTAATGAACTTTTGTAGGTCATGTCAAAGGTTTTTTTTTTTTTTATTGTACAATGAAAGATCATTTTTTCTTATACTTTACCCTCATGCCATCTGCATGCATTATGATTCGAATTCCAAATTTCTTATTTTCAGTCGAAAAAAAATTATCAATAAATTATTTAGATTGTTGACATAAAAAATATATTATTCACGTAAGAACTAGTGAATATGTAACCATCACTTCTTAAGTACATAAAATTAAATAAAAATACTTCCTTTGTTTCAAAATAAAAGACTTTTTAAAAAGTTACACACAAATTAAGAAAGTTAATTAATAGCTTTAATTAAAGCAATATAAAATATTAAACTTTTCAAATTATCCTTTTTGAAATTTATAATATATACTCTATTTTAAACAATAATCTCTCAACATTTAGTGATCAGTTGGAGAAAAGTTGGAAAAGAGGAATTAAATATGCATTAGTTTTCTTAAAATGTCAAATAATTTGAAACAAAAGTTATTCTCTAAAACATCATTTATTTTGAAAGGAGGAGTAAGTATATACATCCTTAATAACTAGATTAAAAATTTAAAACAAACTGTATCAAGTTGGATTCTTAAAACTAAAGTTATTTATATTTTCCTTTGTGTAGCCCAAACCTGACTGTATTTTGTAATGGGCTTCTGAGTCTTTAAAATTTGGGTTTAAAAAAGAAGTTGAGGGAGCTGACGAGACCAAACCTTAACGGGCCTGGAAGTGGATCGCCCAGCTTCACGGATAAGCAAGGCTAGCCCATACCATCAATTGGACAATAGTCCAAATGTTTCTCCTATCTAATGTCATGACTCATTACCACAATTCATTCAACCGACAACACTGTCTTAATCACACACTAATCTTACAATCATCACGCATTATTTTCAGTAAGGGAGTGAATCATATACTCCCTTTGTCTTTTTAGTTTTTTTATCCTTTTAAGTTTATATAAATTAATTTAATAATTCTATATAGTAAATGAATGATAATTAAATTTTTTTTATTTAAATAGAAATATCCAACAATGATTAGGTATAAAAAGATAAAAATTGTTAATTGTCATCTATTTATTATGTTAAATTATTTAATTAAATTTTATTCAAAAGTTAAAGTAAAATAACTAAATTTAACCAAAAAAATAATACATTATAATTATAAATTTATAATATCATGATATTATATATAAAGAATAGTATTATCCACCCTACCTCTTAAAAATTAAGAAAAAAACTATTTTAAAATTATATTGTTTCAATAAACTCTTATTGAAAAACTAAAATATTTTATTTTTAAAGTATGAATTAGAGTGTTTTTTATCTTTTCTTATAGTGAATTTATTGAAATTACATAATTTTGACATAATTTTCCTTCTAATTTTTATGAAATAAAGCAAATAAGTACTAACTTTTTATACATATATACATACATATATATATATATATAGTATTTTCATCTGTCAATGGAAATGGGGAGAATGTGGTCCTTTCGTAGTTTAAGGATGGTATGTGCACTTCTTTTAAACTACAGGGGGCATGTGCAAGTTTTCCTTAAAAATACAAAAATAAGGAAATGTCCACTTGCCCCACTACACAAATCTTGTCCGAACGAGGAAGAACCATCTTCGTTCTCCCTGGCTCTCCACTCTTTACCAGAACCAGAAGCAGAGGAAAATGGGTTCAGTTTCACTAAAAATTGGAGATGGAACTGCAAGATTCAAAAGGGCATCACTCTGCTCCTCAGCCGTCAACATTCTCATGCTTTTCTCTGTTATCACTACCAATCTCTTTGCTTTGTATGCCTTCACATACTCCCCAGCCCACGACCAAGACCACCACCACCACAAGAACATCTCTCTCATCTCTGAGCAAGTCTCTCTGATCCTCAAAGAGATTGATTCTTCTCAAAAAAAGCTGGCCCAGATGGAAAAAGAGCTTCTTGGGTACGATAGTCTTGATCTGTCAAGGCCCAATCTCGCAAGGGAGCTTAAATTGTTCCTGGAGCACCACCAACTTCCTCTGGGGAAAGATTCCAGAACTGGGATCACTGAGATGGTGGCATCTGTGGGGCATCCTTGTGAGAAATCTGCTGATTTATTGTCCCAGTACATGAGCTACAAGGTCTCTGGGCCTTGTCCTGATGATTGGAGTCTTGGGCAGAAGCTGATTTTGCGTGGATGCGAGCCTTTGCCGAGAAGGAGGTGTTTTGCCAAGAATGTTCCCAAGGTTGGTCTTAGTCCTCTTCCTGTTTCTCTTTGGATACCTGTTAGTAATAAGAGTGTTACTTGGAGTGGTCTTGGTTGCAAGAATTTTGAATGTTTGAAGGGTAAGAAATTGAGTAGAGATTGTGTTGGCTGCTTTGATTTGGTTAGTGGATATGAAACTCAGAAATATGTTAAGGCTAGAGGCAAGAATGATTTTCTTATTGATGATGTTTTAGCCATGGGAAATGGTGGAATTAGAATTGGGTTTGATATTGGGGGTGGGTCTGGGACCTTTGCTGCTAGGATGGCCGAGAGGAATGTCACTGTGATCACCAACTCCTTGAATATTGACGCCCCCTTCAGTGAATTCATTGCTGCAAGAGGTCTGTTCCCTCTGTTTATGAGTTTGGATCATAGGTTCCCTTTCTATGATAATGTGTTTGATCTGGTTCATGCCTCAAGTGGATTGGACACTGGCGGCAAACCAGAGAAGTTGGAATTCTTGATGTTTGATGTAGATCGGATTTTGAGGGCTGGTGGGTTGTTTTGGTTGGATAATTTTTATTGTGCCAATGATGAGAAGAAGTGGTCTTTGACTCGTTTGATAGAGAAATTCGGTTATAAGAAGCTAAAATGGGTTGTAGGGGAGAAGCCTGATGAAGGCAAATCTGAAGTTTATCTTTCAGCTGTTCTGCAGAAGCCAGTGAGAATGTGATAATTTGGAACTTTCCACAACTTCTGGAGGTATTGTATTGTTCCAATTTGTAGCTTTATCAACACAGAATATGTGCAAATTCATTCCCTTAAATATCCTCATGATTTTGTTTCAAGAAGAAATAAATGCTTTAAATTTTCCTCACTGCTGCAAACCAGCAGTTTGGAGGATGACATATATGTGTAATCTGTAGCCCTTCCCTAACATGGGTTTTGTAATGGTTGATATCAGTGTTCGATCATTAAACAATGTGCTCCTAGGAAATGGAATCCATATTGAATTCTTGAATCTGCTTAGGTATCTAATGTTTTGATCTTTCTGATTGATGTCATAGGAACATTGGTGCTTGTCCCATGGTGATAACCATGATAGTTTGCTCTGACAATTGTATGAATCATTGTCTAAAGATAATCCATTGGATCCTATTCCTGAATTAGACCATCAAAACGCTGATTCATGAGGCAGATATCTTTTTTCTGCTTCTGGCTTGAATCTTGTCTTTCTCTTCATGCACCTTTTATGGTTATTTTCCATTGTGTTTGGAATTGCAATTGTTGTCTCTTCTTTCCCATTTTTTATCACTTTATTCTATAAATTTAGCTCTGTTTTATTTACCGTGCTGTAAGAAAGCCTTTGCTAAACTTGAAGTCCTCTCATTATGCATGGGAGATGAAACCTACCTCTTATGATGCCCGGTGCTTCATCAGAGTAGAACCTGACCGTATAGTGTCAGAGTCAAGGTACAGGCATTGGGCAAGATTAACTCAATTGATCTGGCTTTGGCAGCTTTGCAGCATCCTTTTAATGATGATTTCCAAAACAAATCTTGAAATATGAACTTTAGCTGGCATGGTTAGTCTTTCCAAATGTATTATCTCACCATATTAGAAGTCTTCCATCAAAGCACACGAGTTTTTATATGCTAAAAAAGGTTACTCACTGGTTTACCCCCTACTTAATTAACTAGCTTCACATCCATACATGATAATTACTTATACAAAGTGAAAGCTGAAAATGGAGATACCCGAATGATTTGCTTAAGTTACAAGTTTACTGATAAAAAACGAAAAAACCAGCAAGAGCATTCTGAGCCTTGCGTAGGCAAATCTAAGATGACTGCGATTTTTTATCTTAGCCAGAAACAGATCAGCAGCAGTTAAACTAGGAAGGCAACAAGAGTCAACAACCAGGACTATCTCAAGCAAGGTCAACCTCTGCATTGGTGCTATTGATGGCTTGTGCTGTAGCACTACTAAGAAGTTTCACTCCTTCCTCACTCATCTGCTGAACTTCTGTAGGGGACAGGATTCTGATGCAACGGACACAGCCAACAAACTCTCTGCATGGACAACAAACCAAACCCTATCAGCATGTAATCCATGAGAAATCTTGGCTACTTGACTAGGGAAAATCCAAATGAAGTTCTACGATAGGCAACAAAGTTAAATGAGGGTAGAATATACGTACTCCCATGGATCATCTCCTACGAGTAGGACATCATTCTCATAATCAACGTATACAAGTTTCCACCCTGAACCTCTCGGGCCATTGAGCAGCCCCTTAAGTCCAAACATGCATTCAATTGCAGAGATCAGTTCTTCATAGTTTTTAAAACCGGAAACATCAATTGACCTCCCAACTGATCCTGTTTTCTGAACCTGTCAACTCAGAAACAATACGTGCAGGGTTAGAATCAAAATAGTATAACATACAAATGCACAAAACCTAGAGTTGCACAACAAAGGGCTGCATGAAACTTGCCTTGGTATATGTTCGCACACGTGGAGCTACTTGCTGCCACGAGCTATTTTGCATAAGGCAGCTTTCATCATTGCTTGAAGATGTACCACCAGAGCTGTCTGGTAAGTCTTGCCGGGAGAAAGCATGGGAGTCTAGAAGACTTGTAGATGTAATCTGAGACTGAACATCCTGACTAGAGCTAATGTTGCCAAGCAAACAATCTGATGGATTTTGAAAATCAGCATCCCTCAGTGTACAAAACTCATCCAGAATGGTACTAGAAACAGAAGGATCAATCACAGATCCACTGCCATTACAACCGTCAATGTTAAGGCAGCTGTATATCCCACTTTGGTTGTTGCTCTCATCAGATAAATCTCTCAACCCACTGGAATAAAGAGTGCATGGATCTTGTTGAGTGAATGAAGCTAGCTGGTCTGCTGGGGTTAAAAACCTCAAATTATTCAACTGCTGATCCCATGTGTCCTGAACAACTGTAGTCAGAGAAGTATTAGTTGCTTCAGGAAATACAGCAGAAGAGTCTTGCAATCCATACATTGGCAAAGGCCCAGGTGATCTGTAACCATAAATCCCGGGAAGAGATTGGCCACAAGAAATGTGTGATGTCCATTCATCAGTGTCCGGGAAAGGAAGAAGGCCATTTAGAGCACTATTATCTACTTGGGTTACCTGAAGTTGGGGGGTGCTATTGAGGACTGATGGATCCAACTGCGGCTGCATGGGCAATATATTAGGTTGCAAATGTGAGACAACTTGGTTTGGGCTATGAAAGGTAAGCTGATTAATATTCCTAGGATTGATAGAATTTGCAACCATTTTTTCCTCGGTGCACTCTGATGTTGACGTTATCTGGCTTACTTTATCAGATGAATGCTCCGGCTCTATCTTCAACTTATCATCACAGTTCCTAGCTGGGTTTTGGCTTTCAATTTTGTTTGGAGAGTGTAGGCTATTATTTGCTTTGGGAAAAGTTGACTTCATGGAATCAGGTTGGTCAGGTACTAATTGGGAATAATCTTGGTTTTCCATTACTGGATTTTCTGATTGATTAAGCTGAGGTTTCTGATTGGTTATTGGCTGCATGTTCTTCACCTCTTCTAACGGAGATCCCTTAGCACCAGGGAATTGTTGGAGGGCAGATGCAAAAAATCCTGGATGGTTAACCATTTGAGGCTTCAGCATCATCTTCATTAATTGTTCAGAATATAAGCTCGAAATAGAGTAATGCAGGTTTGCATTTCCACTTTCAGGAAACTGGACAAGGGGCCTTTTTATCAAGCCTCCCCAGTCGGACTCTGTCCCTGGAACCATAACAACATTCAATGGGTAAGTGATCAAATGCTTAGATCAGACTTCAGACTCCGGTAGAAAGAAGAAACCTACCCAAAACTCCAGGATGAAATGGTCGTTTGAGACCTGATGTTAGAGAAGGAAATATAAAGAGGCTTTCAGGAGTCTCAATTTCCCATGCACTGACTCGGTTTTGTTTATCATTACATCCAGGTTCATCCCACTCAACCTGTTCAAACAGAGAGTAAGTTCCACTGTCTAGTTCAAAACACAATCTCACGGCTTTCTCGAGGAAAAGAATTCAATTAAATTCACAAGTAACCAGTATTACCTGAAGGTTTCGCCACTTAGAGCCAGGCCACCTCAATGGATCTAGGTCAGTAATGCCAACTATTGTGCCCATATATCTGCAGGAAAATGAGAAATGTCAGTGCAGATATTTACATGCTTGACTTGAAATACATGAATGAACACAAACTTGTTATTCTTGTCTAAAACAAAACCAAAAATTTTTAAGGCCTTAATGTTGGAATGGTACATTCTACACAACTGACTGAAAAATTACCTGCGTTTTCCTGACTCCTCTGTTTCAAACATCATTCCAAACCTCATACCAACTGAGACTTGGGTCCCATAAACAGATTTTCTGTATCTAGCCAGAGAGATCACAAATTCTGATGGACATGCCCTGAAAATAAGTAGAAAGATGGTCATGATGAAGAAGTCCCATTAACTTTGTTACAATATAAAGAGGAGAGCTGGGAGAAAATAAACATGTAGGGAAAAGGCCTATCAAGCAAACCTAGGATTGTAAAAAATTGTGAAGGTGCTTCGATTGGCAGCAGCATGAGCTGCAGCTGCCAGGACACCAATGTGCATGCTATCAGCTGATAGAACTGATGATGGCAACGTTGTTTGCTGACGATTTGCACGCCTCACACCTACCAGTAGCTGAGACTTCTCATCCCTAATTACAAGGGAATAGGAAATCAGATAATCAAGTAAAAATTAGGATGTAATAAACCGTTCAAGTTCTGTTATGCAATACAGCGAGGCATAACATGTCAGATACCAGGCTTAGATGCCTAATAAATTCATTAAATGAACTGCAGTCTGGGAAACATATTATATCTAATAAACATATTAAAACCAGGTTTTAGACGAATTATTAAAAATTCATCATTCATTAATCTAAAGTTCTGCTTTCCAAAAATAATTGTAACACCATTACCAGAAAAAAAAAAAAAAAAGAAAAGAAAAGAAAAGAAAAGAAAAGAAAAGAGAAGGCCTTTAAAATATCTTATAACAAACAAATGTAAATAAGAGACTATAACTACCTGATAAAGAGAACAGAATCACCAGCCCTAAGCCTTTTTGATCCAACAAATAAACTCCATCCAGTGGTAAGAAGGTGTCGCTTAGGCTGCCCTGTAGAAAAGCAACACAACTATGAAACTCCAGATTGAATCCATAACATTATAGGGCAAAAAAATTTACACAGCAGAAGACCATGAATAATAGTCTGCACTAGTTATAAAAAATTACAAGGGAGAAGGAAATGCACTAGGCCAATTAACTTCAGATCATATTCTAGACTAATAAGTTAACATCAGATTACATTACATGGTAAAAGAATGGAAGAATCCTCACCTCGGTATATATGGCGAAAAGTCCAAGTATTATCATGCAAATCTCGGACAACAAGCTCCTGAGTAGGTGGTTGCATGGTGTAATCCTGAAACAGGAAAAAAAAAATGGGGGGTTTAAATGCAGCTTGGTATCACATTCCTGCACTAGCAAACATGTTTGCAAGATTCTTCAACAAAAATAGGACCTCACCAAAGTAGGAAAGAGCTTCTCCGCTGCCCGGCGTGGGACTGAGAAGCCACCATGTGTACTTGTATCACTTGCAGTCAAAGTTTTGCAGAAAAACTCACTTGGATGTTTGCTGGGCTTTAGTCCAAAGTCTGGTATAGTGAAGACATCCTTTTCCTAAAAAATGGTAATTCATAATAGTTTGTTATAGTCAAAGGTACCAAATATCAAAACCGTGGACATATGAATATAGTTCTTTTTTTTTTTTTTACTTTGAATATTAAAAACCTATATAAATGTCAAAATTTTCAGACAAGATATAAAAATACGGCAGTGAGGCTTGCTTACAGAGTTCACTGGTTGAAGACTCATTTGTGCATAAATTTCATCTGTATCTTTGTCTGCCTGTTAAATCACAAAAAAACAGAACAAAAAAGTCAAATGATAGAAACACCAGTAGCAAATACATTATGGTAAGCCAACACCTACATGTAGTGTAACATTATGAACTTGACACAATAATTGAGACGGAAGATTTGGGTAATTGGGAATTTGAGAGGTTGCGGTTCTTTTCGTGGAAACAGCCACCTGTAACAAATAATAAAATCATTTATTAGGATTTATTTAGTTGTACAGATCCTGACCAAAAACAAAAGCAAAATTCCGGCAAGGCCGTCAAAAATTATAGCATCATTACTGTTATTTATAAGATGCTATTAACAACGTCTGTGGGGAAAAAACATCTCAACCTATGTAAATCAAACCCTCATGCATTGAACTTCTAACCAGGAAGATGCAACGGGTAAAAATGCCTACAGAAAAATATGATTATTCAAAGTAACAGTAAGTTAACTGCAGAGGACATTTTCCCCATATCATCTTAATCTCCATGACTCCATCCTCTTATGCTATTTGTATGTCATTAAAAAAGTAGAAGGAATAAATCACAAGACAGTAAAGGTAATTTCTTTATGGGCAAGAAGATGGAGAAAATAAGGGTAGACACAGAAATTAAGGAGCTCAAGAGCTAGATCCTTTTTCTCCAAAGGGAAGCAAAAATTAAGTATGCGACATAAATGCAAACCTGTTCACTATGTCCCTGAGGGAAGTAATACGCCAGACTCCCGACCTGAGGCAAGGAAACAAGTGGACCCGCGCAGGCATGCCATAACTCGGAATTTATAGCCTTCCGGGTTCCTGAGATCAGCAAGCGTAATCTCCATAAGATACACTCCAGACATGCTTCTTAGATGACAGACACAATGCAGTAGAAAATTAAATGCGCGTCCTTTAATAAAAGGATATAATTTTAACATCGTACACCTTGAGCTTACGTAATGAAGTTTCAAATTTTACGAGTTTATATCAAAGAAAGTATTCTTCTTTGTGGAGGAAATTAACCATACTTGAATCAGCGATGGACAATTCAGTAATACAGTGCAACTTAAGGAATAGATACATCTAGTGACAGAAGGAAAGGAAAAAAACAAAAAAACACACACACACACACACACACAAACCATGCTAGCAAGCAATATGGTAAATAAGTGACCTTAAACGAATCAAATTGAGGAATTTACGAAAACTAAGCAATCCGGGTTAAGAAACAAACCAGAATGGTCTTGCATTTCCTTCAACAACTTCACCTCCTCGAGCAAGGTTGTCTGCGCCACACCAACAGATCCTGCTGCCGTTTTGATCTTTTCTTCAACAGCAGAACCCATCATGCGCCGCTCAATGCTCTCTCTACCCCTTTTTGCTCCGACCAGAAAAACTTAGAAGAAAGACTCCATCTTTACATGTATCCAATCCCAAGACCCAGTTGCCAAAACCCCTCACCAATCAAAGATAAATGAAAGGAATGAAATTTGCATCACATACAAAGAAGGAATAGAACTCCCCTGACCCACATCAGCAAATCCTATACGACTTCACTCTTCTAGAGGAAGAGAAACTACAAGGAATTTCATGAGGAACACAAAGAACCAATCCAATTGGTTACAGATGAGAGGCAAGTCCCCCAAGAGAGTCGAGAATCAAGGAACGAAACCTGCAAACGTAAAGGGTACTACACAGGAAGAACTTTTCTAGGTGGGGCTTCCAAAAAAACCCCCATGAAAGCACGCCAACCAAAGCATTGAGTGGGTCTCTCCTTTCTCCCTCCTTTGCTATTATCTCCTAAAAGAAATAGACCTTTCAATGAAACCCCACTTCCATCATCACTCTGATTCAATCATCAAAACAACAAAAACAAACCCCAAAAAAAGCTTCCCTCTTTTCTCACCCTCCGCAACAAAAACACAACTGATCAATTTCTTTAAAAATTAGTTGAAACTGGGTAGAGTGTGCTGTGCATGCCCTTATCCTGCGCACACACTTTCTGAATAATATGGGCGATTCCGTTGCAGCTTTAAACAGTGAAGGGGATTGCAGAGAAAAAAAGGCAAATGTAAATAAAGAAATGAAGGGAGAGCAGAGCAAGTATATGAGAACACGAAAACGGTACAGAGAGAGAGAGAGATAGTATAGTTTCAAAAAGCAGGGAGATTTAGCTAAGGACAAAAGAAGAATGTCAAGGGTGGCGCATTTTAGTACGTGGATTACGAGGATTTGCTGGTTTCCCCAATTCTCTTGAGTTTTTTTTTTTTTTTTTTGGGATTTTCGGGGACTTTGGAAAAAAAATGTAAAAAGAAAAATATATAGTTTTTTTTTTAAATTTATCTAATATTCACTAGTTACGTTAAATTTGATTAATTTAAAATGCTGAATCTAAATTTTTTTAATATTTATTTTTTTATTTATAAAATTTAAATTTAAAATTTTATTTTTAAAAAAATTAAAATTTTTTTACTTAAATTAATATATTATTATATATACCACTGTAGTAGTACGCTTTTTTTTGTCTGAGAAATTTGACCGATCGTGTCACGCGTGCCGTTCACGACAAATTTATGGGGAGAGAGAGGCGCACGTTAACCTCAGCTGACACGGACTGCCATCCTGTCTCCGCCGTTCCGGTCGCCGGCGCCGTTTCTCCTTTTCACACTCCGTTGGTCTTTGCATTTGGTCGCTGCATTTAAAGAACACCCACAAATTGAATTTTATTAATAAACTTACCTAACTACTAATATCACGATCCCTTAATAATGCATCTCAACTTAGCCCAAAAGGCTGATAATTTCAATGGTAATAGCTTTAAGCCATATTAATTACATTGTAAAGTAAAAGAAAAGATAAGAGGGTATTTTTTATCAAAGTTGTGTTTCTGTAAAAAA